TACAGGGACAGGCAAAAGTAGGGTTTCTGTTGTTTTCATAGAAAATAATAATACAAGAATCAACTCTGTGTTTTGCATACTCACTACTGTAAACCAGCTTTTGCCTACCCTGTAGATACTTGGGAGAGGGAAGAATAGGTCATGGAGCAGGTATGTGTGGTTTGCTATAAAAGATACTGTCAGATCTTTTTCCAAAATGACTGTACCTATGTATATACCCTCCAGCAGGAAACCAGAGCTCTGTGTGTTTTGTTATACGTGCTCTCATTTGCTTGTTTCTATCCTCACCCGAGGATATGTTTATTGATTTGAGAGAGAGTAAGAAGAAACTTGAATGTGAGAAATATCAAATGGTTGCCTCTCGTTGTGTCCTGACCAGGAATCAAACCCACAAACTTTTTTGGTGTATGGGGCATGCTCCAACCAACAGAGCCACCCACCGAGGCTAAGGAATTTAAATTTAAAAACTGAAGTAGTCTAAAATGTTTTCTATTAAATATATTAAATACAACTTTTCCTTTTGATAGAATTATGTTTCACTTTAACCTACCTTACTATGAGCTTTTATTATGAATAATGATACATTTAATCAAATGCTTTTTCTACCTCTGTTGAGATAATCATATTATTTTACTTTAAGCAATGATGTGCTGAATTATATTGATTACATTTTTATATAGATTTGGAAATGTTAAATCATTACTGAGTTGTTGGGATAAACCCAACTTGGTCATAATTTATACTCCTTTATGTATCCACTGTATCAAATTTGCTAATTTTTTTTGTAGTTTTACACGTATGCGCATGAGAGATATTGGTCTGAATTTTTTCCTTCTGGTATTATCTTGTCAGGTTCTGTCATCAAACTTAGGTTAGCTTCATAACACTAGTTGCGAAGTATTCTGTTTTTCTCTATTCTCAAAAGAGGTTTTTTTTTTTTTTTTACATTGGTATTATTTCTTTTTTAAACATTTGGACATAAACGAAGTCATCGGGCCTAGAATTATTTGGAGGGTGGTTTCTAAGTACGGATTCAGTTTCTCTAATAGCTATAATTACTCAGATTGTCTTTCTCCTTGTTAGTTTTGATAAATCATGTTTTTCAATAAATTTGTCCATTTTATCTAAATTTTGAAATTTGTTGTCATAAAATAGTTACTGTAGGATTTTTTTATTTCAAATATTTCTTTATTTTTTTTCTTAGCATTCTTCTTAAGTGGTTATCAATTTTATTTGTCTTTTTAAAGAAATAAAATGTTTCCATTTTATTTCTGCTTTGTCTATGTTGTATTTCATAATCTCTATTTATTTTAGTTTCTTTAGGCTCAATTGGTAGTTCTTTTTCTGGCTTCTTGAAATAGAACTTACAGTATTAATTCTCAACTTTTCTTTTGCATAATGTATATATTTAAAACTCTATATTTCCCTCTACTCACAGTGTTAGCTGCATCTAGTTGTTTGGTTATTCCATTTTTAATCATCAGTTTAAATTTATTTTTAGTTCTTCTTTGGTCTATAGGTTGTTAGAAAAGCATTGCTTCACCTGAGCTTTCCCATCTGGCGATCTCATTTTGAAAATTTCTGGTGTTATTTTCTATTACTGATCCCTAGCTTAATCTCACTGTTATCAGAATACATACTATGTATGACTTCAGGCCTTTGAATTTTGTTGATTCTTGCTTTATGGTTTGGCACAACATCAACTTAGTAAATGTGCCATGGGCTCTAGAAAAGAACAATGTGTAGTCTCTCATTCTTGGGGGGCGCTGTTCTACAAATGTGTTAGCTCAAATCTTCTGTGTCCTTACAGGTTGTCAACTGTATTTCTGACCAACTGGTTATAAACAGGGGTTCACCACAACCCTCCCCCCCTTTGGTTAAATAATTTGTTGGAATGACACAGAATCAGAAACACTTACACTTGACCTGGCTGGTTTGGCTCAGTGGATAGAGCATCAACCTGCGGATTGAAAGGTCCCAGGTCAATTCTGGTCAAGGCCACATGCCCAGCTGTGGGCTCGATCCCCAACAGGGGGTGTGCAAGAGGCAGCCAATTAGTGACTCTCTCCCTCTCCCTTCCTCTCTGAAATCAATTAAAAATGTATTTATAAAAACAACACACTTACCAGTTTATTATAAATTATATAGTAAAGGCTACTGATGACCAGCCTGATGAAGAATTACAGAGGGTGAAGTCAGGAAGGCTCCCTGTGGAGTTGGGTGGACACCTCTAAGTGTGAGGATGGGGGAGGTTAGGGTTAGGGTTAGATTAGGCTGCTAGATATTGTGGCTGTTACATTAAACAGAGAGTCTAGGTTTTGTTTCTTCACTTGAAGAATATTAAGTAGGCAGTAAAGAATGAATGGAGGGGCAGTGAAGTACTTGCATGTCAATTTATCTCTCCCAGGCTTGTTTTTAAGCGTCTTCAGGTGAGTCTGTAATAACCTTTACTCTAGGGCTCGTTTATTCCTATTGCTAAGGTGGGGCTCTCCGGTGGCCTCTACGAATGCCCCTGACCGGGGGGTGGGGGACATGAACACTTACCAGGCCTGCAAAAACTTTTGATATTACTTAGCCTGTAACTCCCCAGCAGCTTTTTGCCCGGCCTCATGCCGTTTCCCTCTGTGCATCTACATATTAAGCAATAAACTAAAGGGCCCTCCGTGCTTATTTCTGAAGTTCTTTTTCTGCACAGCTCCCACCTCTCCAGTCCTCTCCCCACTCATGCCAGCTGCCCAGCCTTCTGAAATGCTCATCTCTGTCTTTTCAGCCCAACAAGTCACACCTGTGCTCTGCTCAGGTCCTTCCTACCCAGCTGAGACTTGGAAGAAACTGCCCTAGGGCAGAGGGAGCATTTGTGATCTAGAGCTGAACTCATTTGCTTCTGTTCTCACCTGTTTCACAGTTCAGCACTTCCTACGGTCCTACACCTGGAAATAGCTGCTTCATATACTTTGTCCTGACTTCTGGGGCTTGGTGGTGGGAGGTCAGTCCCTGAATGAGTCGCCCCGTTATAGCTAGAGTGAAACAATACTGCCAAGTTGTTGCTTTTTAAACTCTACAAATGATGAGTGAATGCCTGGAATGGATGGTTCTATGATGAAAGGGCCTAAAGCGGAAGAGATGCAGAGGCACCTGTGTAACTTTGCCAGAAGTTTAAGAAATGCATTCTGTGTGGGAACATTTCCTACTCAAGTTCACAATGAAATTCCACGGGCATATTACATTTGTTTTTGAGAGTTAGAAAATGTTGTATCCTTAGGTTTATTATACGTTCTCCACTAAATGAAGGCGAATCAGGCAGGCTTACTAATATTGCAGTATTGTTCATTTCGATCAATGAATGGTGAAGCAGCAGCTGTTGCTGATGCCAATGACATTTATTTAAGCAGCTCCAGTGAACCAGGCACCGTGCTAGACCCTTCACGTTGATCATTTTCAACCTTGTAATTCAAATCTGCAAGTTAGAAAACCACGATTCCCCCAGCACGCAGGGAGGTGAAGGAGAATTCCTCAGGCTCACGCGCTCAGCCTGAATGACCCAGGGGGTGATTTATGGCTGCGACTTGGGGGACAATCTCAGCTCACCAACAATACTGCCACCTCCCATGGCTGTGCTGTTCCCTGAGCCGCCTTCACCTGAGCTTTCCCGTCTGCAAAGGAAAGTGGAAAGCAGTTACTCCCTCCCCAGAGAGGCTGTGTTATTCTATACATGCTCTGCATTATTTTGCTTCAAATAACAGCATATGTAAATGTGTTCCTCCTGGAGGTTAAACTTATTTTTATTTTTTAGAACTTGGCCGCTCCCACCAGGGTAAATAGTTAAACAATATGGAGAAGAAAAGGCAGTTTGAAGGGAATGTTTAGTCAGCCTGGTCTTGCCTCTCTGCCTTCCTCCCTGCCCAATCCATATTTCTATTCAGACGGAAGCTGCCATGGCAGAGTAAAAATTAGTAAATTTCCTATCACAGAGTCCTAGCAGATCCTGCTATTCAGTGTCCAGAGTGCGTCCATCCAGATATTAACCATGAACTCCGCATCAGGTGGACGTGGAGGGGCAGATGTCCTTGCTGAGAAGGATAAACGTCTCCCGTGGCACCAGGAAGACTTGATTGCATATGGTTCCCAGCCAGATCCCAAAGAGACTCTGGCGGGCACGAGCATGGGCTGCCTCTAACCATCTACCCCTCACTCAGCGCTGGCCGTGTCCCCCTGGCTTCGGCTCTGCCATGGGCCCTGCGTTGCTGAGCCCTCCCTATCTTAAACTGCCTTCCCTGGCATTTGAATCATCACTTCGGTGATGTGATAATATCTGCGAGTTAGGAAAATAGAAGTGGCATTTGTTTAGCCATAATTAATGAAATATTTATGTTGCATGAGACTATGTGATAAAACCTTCGGCTTAGAGTCCTTTTGCTTCTGATTACATTTGGGATTTTTTTTTTCTATGACCAGACATTCTGACGCCAGCTCTTTTACACTGAGCAGATGTCATGTAGTAAAAATGGGTACCAGATGCTGTGAGCTGCAGAAAGGCGATTTGTTTAAGAGCTGGCTCTGACTTTTGCTGCATTCAATTACTCTGCAGAGCAAACCTTACACTCAAGCATTTAGGTAACTCAGCTAACTTCGGGCAAGTATTTTAATAATAGATTTCGTCTCCGAACGTATTCAAGCAACACGCGGTATAAATGGTGTTTAAGGAATTAATTGATTCCTGCATAATACCTTTATTTTTGACGTGAAGAAAGAGCTGCAAAGCTCTTGGCAGGGACCCAGAAGTGTAATTAACGTGGAGGGCCAAATTTTCAATTGCCCTTAGGTGCTGCCTCCTCCTCCTGCTCATGGCAGGTGCAGTGGGGGGGAGGGAGGGCAGGGAGGGAGGAAAGCTGGGCAGAGTGGGGGGCCTGGGCAGGGTGGGGGAAGGGGAGAGGCAGCTTTGGGTCACGAAGTAAGAGGAGAAGCGGGTAGTTCAGTGAGTTCCTGTGTTCCCCCTGCAGGTCCCAAGCACGTCCCCATCAGGGTGCAGGTGACAGGGGCTGCCTCCTCCTCCACCACCTCCTCCTCGGCAGATGAAGAATCTGATCCCCAGCTTTCCTTGCGGTCAAAGGTAACAAACAACACTTGGCAAACCAAAAGGGGCCTTGGCTGGGGGGGGGGGGCCTGCTCACCCTGCAGACTTTAGACCCAATGTGGACTCCAGCTGCCGCGGTTTCCTCAGAAGGATCGCATTTCCTTGCATCTGACAGCAAGCGGCTCTTTCTACCTGGGGTACCCCAAGAATCATCTCTATTTTTTTGTTATTGACTTTTATAGGCTTGCCTGCCTCAGAGATGTAAAATCGGGGAAGGGAAAACAAAACAGATGTATTTCCTTGAAACCATTTGGTGACTACAGCTCTTAAAAAAGCGGGTTTCATTTGTGGTCCAAGAAGCAAACGATTGGAAAAATTACAGCAACCGGATGCATATTTCCCCGGTTGGGGGTGGGGGGAAAAGGGAGCACAGCGTCATTTAAGCAGCAGACAGCATAGGACATGTTACGTTTATTCTAATGAGACATGTGGAGGAGCCACGCCATTGCAGGTTAAGTGAGGATGCTCTGAGGGCCCCTGCTGTGGAAGGGACTGGTCGCTGGCCGGCTGGGGAGATGGCAGTCCTCCTTGCTGGATGGCGTTCATATTTCTGGAGGACACTTTAAACAGCTCTCATCCCCCCAGATTTAGAAAGTACAAACACTATTATATCTCCTCAAAGGTTCCTGTGTATCAGCCCACAGAGACACGCACCCCATGGCCATGGCTCACTGCTGTTTCTTACCCATGGGACCAGAGCAGTTTCATAGGATCGGGATGCTAAACGGATGGACCTAAAATGCTTCCCAGGTGGACACAGGCGCAGTGCATTGCTCTGTGCGTGTTTACTTTTTGGAGAGAGAGGATCTGAGGAGAAAGGGAGAGAACCAGATTTATTTATTTAGACTCAACTTTTCCATATCTGGCACTAGGCACTTTGGCATTATCTCAAGTCATTCAGGGGATCCAGCTCCACAAGGCCCCGGCTGGAGCAAGTCAGGAGGGGGCTGGGGCATGGCATGAGTGTGAGAGATGAGAGAAAGAGAGGAAGAAAGAGAGAGAGAAAGAGAGAGAGAGAGAGAGAGAGAGAGAGAGAGAGAGAGAGAGAGAGAGAGAGAGAGGAGAGAGAGAATGAGAATAAGAGAATATGTATAGACTCTTAATTTTGTAACTTGGGGAATCTCTGATTAGTTTGTTACTCAACACAAATGAATTCTGTGTGTGTGTGTGTGTGTGTGTGTGTGTGTGTGTGTGTGTGTGTGTGTTGATTTCTGGGGTTTCCTTTCCTCTTTTTGAGAGATCCAGAGTGTACTTCTGTATTCAAATGAGGCAGAGGCCCCAGTGTCAGCCATCCTGACACTCTCACATAGGAGGAAAGAATAGAGTGGCCCCACCACATCAAAATAGTAAGACCGTGATAGGCAGGGCAAGCCTTGCAGGTGGCTCCTGGTCCTCCTGCTGCTCCAGAACAGTGCCAGTCCTCCCTGCCCGCTTCACCTGCCTCTGGCGTGGCCGCTCTGACAGGAAGGGAAGCTGGCCAAGGGCTTCCTAAGGGCTCACAGTGAAGGAATAAGAGAAGTCCTCTCCCTGTTTCCCCCCCAATATAATATTTTTATTGATTTCAGAGTAGAAGGGAGAGGGAGAGAGAGATAGAAGCATCAAAGAATCACTGATTGATCAGCTGTCTCCTGCATACCTCCTACTGGGGATTGAGCCCAGGGATGTTCCCTGACCAGGAATTGAACTGTGACCTCCTGGTGCCTAGGTCAACGCTCAGTCACTGAGCCACACTGGCCAGGCACCCTCCCCTCTCCCCCTCTGGTGTTTTATGTCTTCTGTCCCATGCAGGTGTGTCCCCAGACATGTGGCACAGAGTCTGTCAGCCCAAATGAAGCTCTGCATAGGAAACTGGAGACAGGATACGCACACTCCACCTCTCCCCTTTGCTCTGCCCCGAAACCAGTGACTGGATCCCAGGGACCGGGACTGGCAGCTGTCCTAATCCCACTAAAGTTCTCCTTTCTCTGTCCTTTGTCTTTTTCTTCTTTAGCTCTTCAATTCTTTCTTTTCCTCTCTGCACCCTCGTCACCATCACCGAGGGCCTAAGAACTGTGCCTGGCATACAGTGAGACTACCTGGGTGTTAGTGAATCATCCTCATTTCTATGTCAACATCCGTTCATGAATAGCAGTACAGGACCTTCTTTCCTCTTCTAGGTTCTGCTTTGTAGATTCTTGATAAAGCCCTGGGGTTTGGCAGCTTTGCTACTGGGGAGGGCAGAGACGGTGTGATGCTGCCGAAGCTTCCTCCCTTGAAATTGTATGAAATGGTCTTAATTGAGGGGCAGGACTTTGCCATTTCTATAAAGCAGGAGTCCCTGATGTGCCTGCACAGTATTTGGCACAGAACAGGCAGAACAGATTATATGAAAATACAGATGCTGGACTCAGGTGACCCGGGCTTACCGCCCGGCTCTACCAATTACTAATTGTGTGTCATCTTGGGCAAGTTATTTAACGCCTCTGAGTTTTGATTTTTTTTAATCTATAAATTAAGTTTCATTTGAGGGATGGATAATTAAGATGATACATGAGAGGTAATTAGTACAGTGTCTGGCACATAACAACTAGTAGTGGGATTTGTTATGTAGGGTAGGAGGTTGTAAGCTCCACAGAGATTTGTTGAATAAATGCACCAACTCTCCATAGATTGAGTGGGAAAGTCTCTGGATAACAATTACCAGTGATCTCCACACGCCCCTCCGCAGCCTTTCCAGTAAGATCCTGGCTGCCTGAAAGAGGGGTTCCCCCACCCCAGTATCCCAGAACCTCTGTTCAGAGAGATTGACAATCAGAAAGTTACCCCCTAGAAATAGAGATTTTATGATATGGAATAAGTTTGAGTTTTTAGAGCCAAAATTTCCTTCCAAGGAAAGGAGAGCATGAGACCTTTAGGATTCTAGATCCTGAAGGGAATTCTATAAAAACCAAGTTTCATCATTGAGATCAATGTTGTCACTAGACATGTATTCCCACCATTGCAGAGGTTCTTGGGTGTCACTGTTCTAGAAGCTAATCAGTGGTTCGGTTGCAGGGGGCAGAAGCCTATGACAGCGTTTTGTCAGCTTCAAACCATTTTCTCAGACATATATTTTTTCTTCTCTGTTGGTTTTTATAGGAGAGGAACACACTTAGAAGAAGAAGGAAGTTGGAGAAAGCAACGAAACAACTGGTTAAGCAAGAAGAATTAAAAAGACTTCATAAAGCTCAGGTCAGGAACACTTGATATGAGTGAGTGGGCCTGGACCCTGGGAATCAGAAAGCCCATTGGAAGTCGGGATTGCAGTGGGGAGGTGGGCTGGAGAAAGGCTGGTTCCTCTTCTCTGAGCGACCAGCTTCCTGGCCCTTCTAAAGGCGCTGGCTCAAACCCTGGTTCAACTCTGGGGCCTGGAGAGCCCTAGTGCTAACCTGGCCCATCCCCAGCAGCCTTTCCATCTGCAGACACACTTCTAGCAAAGGAAGCCTGAAATGACAGCCAACACATGGCCGAGGGACCATCCCCAGCCTTGACTGCCACACAGCGGTCTGTGCGGACACACCTTCCCTCAACTTGCTGCCAGTGTCTCTGCCGAACTGACAGCTATTAGGAGCTGTCTCTGTTGCAGAATCAGTTGAACAGCAGGAGCACCCAGCATTTTTATACAGGCTTCCTGGCCCGCTGCAAACATTTCTTCCAAATGGATCTGCCCACCTCTGTCACAGAGCGGCAAAAGGAAGCAGACAGGCAAGGCATCCTCCGTCTCCCTGAGGCCCCCAAAGCCAGCCTTCAAGAACAGTTAGGTTTTAGGACAAACGGATTTTGCCTAGCCTCTCATATTAATCCATTGTACCTTTACATTCCTAACTCCAATTAATCCTTTTATCTGGCCATGCCGTCCTGGAAGTTGTGTCTTCAAGGAGGAGATCATTTAGTCCAACCTCCTTTACCCTTCACGGTCACTGACTTGGGAGCTGTCCCTGTCACCGGGTGGACAAGGAAAATTTCCACCAGCTTCCTCTGTCCACTCTCAGCTTCTAAAACAGGTTTCTTTGAAACATACCAACTTTCCCTTCTGAGAACAAGATAACATCTTTATGATATGGACTGGCAAGCTCAGCAATTTCCCCTTCTTATATTTTCACACCAATCGATAGGTGGCGATAGGAAAAGAATTACAATGGCCAATAGAGTCTTAATTTGCATTTCTTTTTAATCTTTGAGATTTTCATTCTTAATATCTAAAGAATGACCACTATATTAGCCAGATTGGGTGGCCATAAAAAGCCACAGAATGGGTGGCTTAACAGAAATTCATCATGGTTCTGAAGGCTGGAAGTCCAAGCTCAAGGTGCCTTCAGGGTGGGTTTCTGGTGAGGACTCTCTTCCTGGCTTGTGGCCTTTATTTTCTGTGCAGTGTAGAGAAAGAGAGATCAATCTCTGGTATCTCTTCCTCTTCTGATTAGGATCCAGATCCATCAGATTAGGGCCCCACCTTCTTGACCTCATTTAATCTCATTCACCTCATTTAAGGCCCTGTCTCCAAATATAGTCACTTTGGGAGTTAGAAATTCAACATATGAATGGGGGTGAGGGAGACTCCACTTACTCCATAACAACCACATAGCCATAATTACAAAGTAATCAGTAATAAAGTTATTTAAGTGTTTTCTTTCCTTTTGCAATTCTACACTATGCCAGCAAGAGACCGATTTATAAAGATATAATTACCTTTAAAAGAGAGACAGAGAGGAAGGGGGCATGAAATTACACGTTGTTTAAGATATAATTCCCACCTATTTCATATTTTATGTTTGGGGCTTAAACACTCTTACAAAGAGGAGCCAGGTGGCTATTCAGGCCTCTTCAGGGGATTGGAGTTGCTTTGGCAATTGTACCCCTAAATCTAGGGGAGACTTAGAAAGACGCAGAGTTAAGGAGGAAAGGGGGTGAGACAAAGTTGGAGTGAGATACAGAAGAAAGAACACACACATATTACCTGCCCCAACAGCTTCTGGGTCTTTAAATATACCTGGTCTGCCAGGTGCCAAGTCCGTTCTACCAAGAGATGTGCCTTCGGCAGATGTGCCTTTATAGAGCTGATGTAAGCATTAAAGAAGAATTTTTACATATATATGGATATGTATAAATATCTCTGTGGATATGTGTATATATACATCTGAAAACAGAGGAAACTATGAATGAGCAAAATGTACAGAGGACAGTCTCTCTCCTCATTTTCCTTCCTAATAATTCACAGGAGAAAGAAAGACTAGTAGGGAAAGTAAACATGAAAATGCAAACCCACTCATGACCCAAAACCATACTAGGTGCCAATGGTGAGTCTAAGGAGGGTGTGAAGTTATCCCTTAGCAGGAAACACATCTGGGGTCTTAAAAACCTGCTGGTAATAACGCTACCATACACTTCCACAGTAATAGGCCCCAGGCATTGACCCAGCCCCTTGGGGCAGTGAAGGAGTGGGTACAGTCTGAGCTGAGGACTAGAGCCAGGTGGTCGGAGAAAGGAACACCCAGCCCCAGGAGTTGGCTCAAGTCTCCTGCTCCAGAACAATTTCTTGGAGGGATCTGCTGATTCTTCTCAGGAGAATAGTCTGTGAGCGTGCTCTGTGTTTGCCCCAGGGCCCCTGTCCTACTGAGTCATGGTTCTTGGTGAGCAGAGTCACAGGCTGAGGCTCCAAAGAGTCAGGGAACTGGGAGGACCGCCCACCTGGCCCCGCGGCCTCGCCTGAGAGCATGTCTGTGTGATTGGCCTGGTCAAGGGGGACTATTTTAGCATCTACTTGGGGGCAAACTGAGCTTACATACAGACTCCTTTATGGCTTCACGCTAAAGAAGGGAAATGTCAAGTTCTAGTTGTTGGGGAATTCGGACGTCCTGACCCAGCGAATCAAGGAGGTGACATCACGTGGCGAAGGGCTTCTTTCTCTCGAAAAGACAGTGGCTGCATTGGCCCCTCTTGTGGCTCTGTGTGCGGGTCCCATGTGACGTGAAACCCTGGCATTGCAGGCCATCCAGAGGCAGCTGGAGGAGGTGGAGGAGCGGCAGAGGGCCTCCGAGATCCAGGGAGTGAGGCTGGAGAAGGCGCTCAGAGGAGAAGCAGGTAGGCATCCCACCAGGTCCACAACAGTAGCCCCGCCCGTGCCTGTGGTCTGAGAACAGTGCTGCCCTCCCCGTCTGGGCAAAGCAGGGAGACGGGTCATCCTCTGGCTCTGTCAACACCGACACAATGCGAAATCTGCAGCTGCTTCACACTTTCATAGTCAACGTGACCATTTGAAATTCCTAGGGGCACTAGTAGGCCTGTGGGCCTTGTCCCTGGGTTTCTGGTATTCTCAGTTCTCTGCTACTGTAAATGCTCTTTGCAATTCAAGGTTTAGCATAGATTCAGGAGAACTGTTTGGGCATTCAAGCAATGTTGGTAGTGATTCAAAGGCTGGACTTAAAGTAAAAATCCTTGTTTCTCCCTTTACTCACTGTATGACCTTAGGCCAGTCATGTTTTAAATCTTTAAGAACTTTCTCTCCTCTAACATGGAGATAATAGTGGTTTCTAACTTTATAGAGCTGATGTAAGCATTAAAGAAGAATTTTACATATATATGGATATGTATAAATATCTCTGTGTATATGTGTATATATACATTTATATTTGTATATACGCATATACATTTACATTTATACACACACACATATATATAAATGTGTATCTACACACACACACACACACACACACACAAAAAAAAAAAAAAAATTAGCACACTGCCTGGCACAGGTAAAACGCTACCGATAGCTTCAGACTCTCAGATCCAAACAGAATTCATCTGGTGAAGCCCTGTTATTGCTGGACATGAGATAGCGGGTCTAAAATGATGACTAGGACACAGTTTCTGCCTCTGAGAGAGCCTTACAGTTCACTAGGACACAGACCTGTGAGAAATAAACCACAATCCAGGAGGACCGATGCTGTGTTAGGGACAAGCATCAGGGTGCATGGGCACAGGAGCAAGAGGTTCCTATCTTGTCCTGGGAGAGAGACGGTCAGGCTAGGCTTCCCGGAAGCCGTGGCCTGTCAAGATGAGAACCAGAGGAGGGAGGAGCTCACCAGTGAGGCGAGGAGACTGCTCTGGCAGAGGGAGCAGCACCTGCAAAGGCCAGATATGAAAAGACGTGAAATGCTTTAACGAAAGAGGGGCCGGGGAAGGGTTCTTGGGTGAGGGATGACTTAAAGAAATACACGTGTTTTCCAAAACCACCCAGCATCTGTGTGGGTAGTGAATTGGGCAGGGGTGGGGGTTGGGGGACGGTGGGGGGTGGGATGGGACTTAGGGTTTGTGGGAAGTATTGTTTGTCTCTCTAGCTTTGTGACTTGATGTCTTTAGCCTTTTATATTTTGGATATAAAGTGTGAAAAACCAAATGCTGGAAACACATCTCTCTCTGTGTAACCATGAAAATGTGTTACTGATTAAACAACATAGCAAAAGCTTAGGGTTTCAATTCTCTTAAAACTTCTCTTAAAACTTCAATTATTTGAGAATGATGATACTAGCAGGGGCAGACCTAGATCTTGTGAGGCCTGAAGCTCATACAAAGTCATGCCCACAAAATTGTGAGAGCTGCTCCCCAAGCCTCGTGAGGGGCCATCCAAGTGAGGGGCCTTGTGGTTCCAGCCTTAGTGTTAGCTGAACGGCTTGTGTGTCCTTGGTTAACAGGGAAATGCTGAAGTCAGTTTAACACCCCCCATGCCTCAGTTTCCTTGTTTGTAAAGTAAGAGTGATAATTATATCTGTTTCTTGGATTTGTGGTGAGGAGGATGGGCTAAAACAGTTAATCTGGAAGCCCTAGCATAGAGCCTGCCTATGGGATGGATGGCATAATTGATGAATAAATATGTGTTCCTGTTCTTACTAAAATACACTATGCACGTCCTTGTAAAGGAAGCCTGAATCCACTCACCGGAAGTAGGTTTCATTACCAAAATTATACCCATTTCCTTCTGCTTGGAGTGAGGGTCTCTGCCTGTCTGGTGCTTTTCTTTAGGAATCTACTGATTTCGGGGAGAGCCTTAGAAATAAACGAGATAAACCAGCAATGCCAGGGCATGCTTCCGTTTGCTGGGGAGGCACTGTGGCGCAGTGGGGCAGGGAGAATTATCGGCATCAGAGAGCACTGGGTTCAAATCCTGTCCCATTGCATTCAGGCTGTGTCGTCCTTGGAAAATCACTTAACCTCTCTGGTCCCATATTGCTTATCTGAAAAATGGATCTAATAGTCCCCACATTACCAGGTTGTTTTGAGAATTAAGTGTCTTGGTAGGCAAAGTGTCCCCCAGAGTGTGGGCAACAAATGCTACTTGATATTACTTTACAAAATATTGATATCCACATACATACACTGTTAAAGAAATCACTCTCTATTCTTTGCTGCTTGAGATTTATATTCTAGAAACCAATATCTTAACACTTCTGAAAAATCTCCCCATTTTGAGTTATCAGCTTAAGAAACCCTGCCTGTGGTGTTGTCCAAGTTACGCTAACCTGGCCAGAAGATGGATGCCATTCCTTCCCTTTATATCTCTGGTAATTTAATCTCCCTGTTACGTTTTATGGGCCTTTTCCTTTTTGATTGTCTTTGTGTGGGCGACAGATGCAAACCAACCAGGGGCTAAAGACTAAAAGAGTCAAGGCATGGAGCACGGCCCCAAAGGAAGCCATATGGAAGATTTGCAAACCAGGCATCGAAATTAATACACCCCTAACTTGTAATAACATTTGTGCAATAATAATGTTCCTTTACAGTTTAATATTCTATTCAGCCCCTTTAAGAGATTGCCCGGGTGCTTAATGAATGACCGATGCTTATTAGGTTAAGTTGTATTTGAGCTGGCCTGTGCTGCTCTGGTTCAAGTAATGTAATGGGAATTATTTAATAGGTATTATTAGGATAATTAGAAAATGATCACAGGGAGGCAATAATATTGTACTATAAAGGTTATGAATAACCAAATTTAGAGACAGGCCTGAAAACATGAGTAGTCTGCGACAGTTACGCAAGCCTCCTCTAATGATTATGCGCTCCCGCCTGAAAGGGTCTTTTGTTCCTGGGAGTTATTCATTAGGCAGGCATTGAATTAGCAGAACATGCATGCGGGGGTGCAGGACGGATGGCAATGATGGCTGAAGAGCAAAATGAGGCTTTGATGAGCTCCTAATTGTCGTGACAACAATTCCTGCTTTCTTTTTCCCCAGCAGTCAGAAATGTGCTTCCCCACCCCCAGGAGGGGGTTTTCCCCATTTTGCCAAGGAGGGGAAAACAAAGAGAAACAAACATCTAAGAATCCACCCCAGAAGACAAGTCATTATGTTCTATAGAATGTGTGTGTGTGTGTGTGTGTGTGTGTGTGTGTGTGTGTGTGTGTGTGATAGATGGGTGTCCTTGACAAAGGGGATGGATTCCCCTGGTGGTCCTGGCTGCCCAGAGAAAAGGACACTTGTGTCCTGACTGCACTGGGCCCCACCTTCTGTAAGGAGACCAAGCCAAGCTTTGCCAGCCACTCAGGTTCTTCTTACTCAGGGCCCTGCTACCTAAGGGCTTATTGGTTGTCAGCACAGCGGTCAGTATTATGTGCTGGGGTCATGGATTATCCTAGTATTGCAAGAGACCGTTCTTCACGTTTAGATGGTCTGGATGACAGGATTTGTACTTTCTTTTAGTGCCTAGGGACAGGTGAAATCTGGTGAAAACTGCAAGTGATGTAGAAGAAGAAAGGATGTACCCCCAAGAGAGGTGGATGGGAATTAGTCCTCTCTTTTAAGCTCACCAGCTTCTGGGAAGGTTTACCAGATGGTTGTCTGCATTGAGCTTCTTGCCTTTTTTTTTTTTTTTTTGGCCAGATGGCTTTTTCATCATATAGGGGGATTTGCAAAGAAAACATCAGGATTGCCAGTCTGCCAGCAGGTGGCAGTAGGCACACACATGAGGATGAGAACTTGGAATGAAAACCTAGCCAGGAAGAGGGAAGTAGTTTGGCATATACTCTGTGGTTTTTATCTTGACTGTGGCCATGGAACAGGAAGAATAATTTATTGGATAATGTAATGGTGAGGTGTCTTGAAAAGAACAGAAATATTAGAGTCAGATGCCCCTGTGTTTGAATCCTGATGCCATTCATAGAGAGTGGCAAGAAATAAGACTCCAAGGTAGATGGCTAAGGAAGCAAGGAATTTGAATTGGTTTGCCACAACTCTGTGATTCAATTAAAGTGGGACACTCCTGAGTTTGAATCACAAAGTGATCATCATATGACAATTACCTCTTTGCAAAACTTTCTTATCTGAAAAATGGACTAATGATACCAACCTTATAGGGTTGGTATGAAAAAAAAAAGACTAAATAAAATAATGTTAGTAAAGCACCTAAAAGAACTGCCTGGTATATAATAGATTTTCAGAAAAGTTAGTTCCTACTTTTTCTATTCTTTCTTTCCATTCTCTTTTTCCCCCCTTAATACCTTCACCTTTTTCATCCAACTTCTCTCCCTCTGACAGCTCTCATTCTATGCTCTGTACCTATGAGTCTGTTTTCTATTTTGTTAGTTTATTTTGTTCATTCGGGTAAACATATGAGTAAAATCATACTGTACTTGTTTTTCTCTGACTGGCTTATTTCACTTAGCATAATACCTTCCAGGACAATCCACACTGTCACAAAAGGTAAGGTTCCTTCTTTTTCATGACTGACTAGTACTCTCTTGGGTAAATGTACCACAGTTTTCTTATCCACTCATCTACTGATGGGCACATGGGCTGCTTCCAAATAGCACTGCAATGAATATACCTCTTCTTTGCTTTTATATTCGTATCATTATAAAACATAGCTGGATGGTCAACAATTTCTCGTATTTATTATTTGTTCAATTGTTCATATTCATTTAAAACTACACTCCCTAGAAGACATTAAACTAGTTTCTATAAAAATATATAATACATGAATTTCCCATGTCTGGTTCATATTAGGATCTCAATGTAGACTCATGCTATTGCCCCCAAAAAAACAATTCAGTAAAAGCAGTTTAACCAAGAGAAGCAAACACTGGGATCCGA